TCACTCTTAAGTTCAGAACCTTTGAAATCCAGTTATTAACGTTATTTGTTTCTGCTGTCATTTATTTTTGGTTGTGTCACAAAATTCAACCTGAATATCCAAGAATTCCCCAAATCCAGGCAGTTTTACAATCCATGTTGTCGGCCCCTGAACAAGTCTGGTTAACTATAGTGACCCTCGTACTAAAAAATTTGGCTCTAAATGGAAGCTTTAACAAAAATCCTAAAACCTTTCATCTCAGAAAAACATAGCCAGTGATAGTGATATTGTTACACCGCAGTGCTACAGGTGTGTGTGTGTGTTTTGTGTGTGTGTTTTGTGTGTGCATAGTGAAGGCCTCATGTTCCCACAGGCCGTTGAGTGCGGAGCCTCCAGGCCTGGGTCCGTGTCACAGTAGCCCGGGTTATTGTCAGGCTGCTCCTTCTGTCACTGGTGCCCATTCTTCTTCACTTCGCTGATTTATGACAAGGCTTTATGCGGCTGTAGCACAATGCTCCGCTCGCCTTTGTCCTTTTTGTTTCATCGAGCGGGAGATGAGCAAATGATACTTCAGATCGGATTCAGACTGACACTGTTTTCAGCAGCGGATCTGAACTAGTGTGTGTGTGTACAGTCTCTTTTTGGTCTGCGCTGTACCGTCTATAGTCTTTGTTCCATCCATTTAGAGATTGTCTATTATTTAAAGCTGGGGTGTCTAACTTTTCTGTTTCAAAAATAATAACTTTTTTTTGTCCCGACAGAATGAGGCATGGAAAAGTACATGGTTGAGTACAAATCGGATTACAACATGCTTTCCTCGCCATTATAGAAAACGTTGTATATTTTGCATACTTTTTAGACAGTACCTTGAGAGTCACTATTTGACGCTTTGAGCTCAGAGCTGATTGGCTGAGTGAGGGTGGTTCTCTCTTTTACCCTTTCTGTCTGAATAAGCAGATCTAAAGATGGAAAAGAAGACAAAAACTGACAAAAAACCGACAACCAAAACTGTTTTGAGATCAAAAAGCAAGTTAGTGATTTGAAAGTTGTTTATCCTCTAAGGTATGCTTCGTTGTCCCGGTAAAAATCGGGAAATGTGTCCTGTACATTTGACCAATCCTTCAATGCCACTTCACCCTTCATCATGATAATTTATGCCAAATATGAAATTTCTGCATTGTGAGATCAATAAAGTTGATCTTATCTCACGATTACTGGAGTTGGAGGATTGTTACTTATTTGGCATGTTTTGGGAGGTGGGGGAAACCAGATTGCCCGGAGGAAACCCCCCCAGACATAGAGAGAAATATGCCAACTCCATATAGTAAGTCTCAGGCCATGATGGGACTTACTGTGGCATGGCCTGAGAATGTGCATCTGTGGCTACTACTCAGCCACAGATGCAATATTTAGTTTTAAATGAAATACAATATTATTCTAAAGATTCACAGTAGAGATGTCTCATATTAGCATGAAATGAGCTACAAACAAGATTCAAGATTCAAGAATGTATTTGCCATTTGCAGTAAAACCACATTGGACCAGAGCTCTTGCCACTTACAACTGCTCTGTTTTAGTTATGTTTCGCTGCATTAAACTGAAGGATTGTATCTTCACTTGTTTTAATGTACTGTGATCATTTAGGATTTTAATGCCTTGTTTGATGGTTTCTATCTTGTTTGGTTAATCTCTTTGAGTCGGGTTATATGAACTGTACTCTACAAATAAACTTGCCTTGCCTTCAATACCATCTGAATACTGTAATAATGTGCAATACTGCAATTTCCCTGAGTGTTCACTGAATGTCACTTTTTCTACTTATTATCCTGCCCTATATGTATATAACTTTACATTATATACATACAGTATGTATAGATGTATATTTATTGAAGCATTTACAGCTAGCTAAGAAACATGGCAGCTACGTACTGTATATTGTATATGTGTTGTGCTACCTGTGTTCTCTACACAGGTAGCACAGGGCGGCTGGATAGCACTCTCGCTTCTCAGCAAGAAGTTTCTGGGTTCGAATCCCAATCGGAACAGGCTCTTTCTGAGTGGAGTTTGCCTGCGTAGGTTTCCTCTGGGTGCTTCGGTTTCCCCTTCCACTAAAAACATACACACTGGGTAAAAAATCCTCCAACTCTGATAGTCCTGACCAAGACGAACATCAAAAACTGGAGATGGGATCCCGGGCGCTGTTACTACGGTGACCACTGCTCCTTGGTGGCATCAAGATGGGTCAAATGCAGAGGATCAATTGCCTTAAGGGGATTTATAAAGTACACCTTTACTGTCCTGCATGTGCGCTGCAACATTGAAATTTTCCCAATGTGGTAAATGCAGGATTATCTTATCTTATCAATGGATCCCCTGTAATCGCCAGAAGTAACTTATTAATATATGAATTGTATCTTAATGCCGTAATATTTTTCTCCTGTGTCTTACCAGTGAGCCTCCAGGACTTTTCTAACCAGTTGGAAAGTCAAAGCATCCTGAGACTTTACAATGAGCCCTCGGAGAGTTTGTCACTGTCTGCGATGGCCCTTTATTCTCTTCAACCAGGCCAAGAGGAGACACTCACTAATGAATAGCCCGTCCTGAAAAAAAAGAGTCATTTATATTGTTGGGGTCACCATTGTTTGGACAACAACATCGTATCGCCATAGGATCACCATATATCACTGTAGCGTAGGCATAAAGGCTGTGTAAAATCATTAAGGAAAGTGAAAGTGAGGTGTTCTTTGTGTTATTCTAAGTCTCATTAGCATTTGTGAGGGTGACCCCGAAGTGGGACGTCCAGCTGTGACGCCCACACCCATGGCCTCGTGTTGAACCGCATCTAACACTGTCGGGCCCCTATGCTCCCGTGTGAGGACACTGGAGCTGAGCATCCGGGGAGTGTGGGAGAAACGCCTCGACACACAATGATGCAACCAGAGCTGTATATTTCCAGACAATAAGGAGAAAAAAGTCAATTCAATTCTTTTTATTTTTGTGTAGCCATAAATTGCAACAGCAGTCGTCTCGGGGGACTTTACAAAGTTATCGATTCCTCAACAACAGAACAGAGACAAACACATTGAAGCCATTGGTCCGCCAGGGGACGGGATGACCAATGTCCATACATATTGTTTGATGAATGATTTTGAATTTCTTGCCCTCTCCAGATGGGCGCAGAGGTCCTTCCTCAAGTGGAGGAGTTCAAGTGTTTCAGGGTCTTGTTCACAAGTGAGGGAAGGATGGAGCGTGAGATTGACGGGCAGCTTGCGCAGTGATGCTGGGCGCTCCCTTAGGATAGGGTGAGGAGCTCAGACACACGGGGGGAGCTCAGAGTAGAGCCGTTGCTTCTTCACATAAAGAAGAACCAGTTGAGGTGGCTCGGACAAGTATTCCAAATGCCTCCTGGACGCCTCCCTGGGGAGGTGTCCCGGGCATGTCCCATCGGGAGGAGATCCAGGACTAAGAACCAGGGAGTATGTCTCTCAGTGGGCCTGAGAACGCCTCGGGATTCCTCCAGATGAGCTGGAGGAAGTGTGTGTGTGGATAGGGATGTCTGGTTGTCTCTGCTTAGACTTCTGCCCCCACAACCCGGCAAGGGATAAAGCGAATTAAAATGGATGGCTGGAGTTTCAAGTTAATCTTCAGTATATTCAGAAGTATTTTGGGATCAAAAAAGTTTCTTTAAACTGTCCACACACAACTGGACAGTTCCAATCTAGTCATCTAGATTGGTATATTGGGGAACACTTTAGATTAAATGCGGCCATGTAGAATAAGGACTAATAAATGCTTAATACATGCTAATTAAGAGCTAATTAACAATACATTAAACACTAACTAGCTGTTACTTAGTGAGGGTTAAACTAAATTGTGGCCGTGTGTCCAATTGATATTTTGGTCAAAACAACCCAAAATCTTTGGTCATAGCACCATCTGATGCAAATTGATAATTCTGACCAACATATTGGTGGATCTATTTTTCTTTTCTATATCACATTGTTTAGATGCCGTAACAAGGTCATAGTAAAGATGTCGACAGCTGCTTAAACAGTCTATTACATGTGTCCCGGCTGTCACACCTGGCTTGTAACAACACACTTTATACGATCTAATTACGTTATTCAAAAGTTATTGGTACATTTCCTAATATTTAATTGCCTTTGCAGAGGGATCAGAGGGGTCAGCACAGTGCGCACAGACGTCACCTGGCTGGCACACACACTGTTTACAGGCAACAACAAAGATAGAATGTGACGGTTATTAAAGTTCATCGTGCACACGTAGGGTTCTCAGTGACTGCAGCTGAGGTCTTTCCCAAATAACCTATTCTTATGACAAACCTGCAATATGTTACAACTGTCTGGACTCTGGTGACCTGTAGGTAACATTGAAACATTGTTGGACCACTATTTTTTGTTATCATTGTTGTTGCTTATCAATCACACAGTGTATTGTTTGTGTTTATGTATAAGAAAGAAAGTTAAAGTGCCATTTCCACAAGGACTGTTTTTAAGCTGCTTTTATTGGGAGTGTTTTCCTTGCAGCATGTTTTATACGTCCAATATTTCCACCCACACCTGTTTTAATCAACATGGATGACAATAATGGATACAAGCGGTCGAAATGAGCTTCCTCCGCAGAGTGGCTGGGCGCTCCCTTAGAGATAGGGTGAGGAGCTCAGTCACACGGGAGGAGCTCGGAGTAGAGCCGCTGCTTCTCCACCTCGAGAGGAACCAGTTGAGGTGGCTCGGGCATCTGTTCCGGATGCCTCCTGGACGCCTCCCTGGGGAGGTGTTCCGGGCACGTCCCACCGGGAGGAGGCCCCGCGGAAGACCTAGGACACGCTGGAGGGACTATGTCTCTCAGCTGGCCTGGGAACGCCTTGGGGTCCCCCCGGACGAGCTGGAGGAAGTGTGTGTGGATAGGGAAGTCTCTGCTTAGACTGCTGCCCCCGCGACCCGGCAATGGACAAAGCGGAAGAAAATGGATGGATGGATGACAATAAATGGTGGTGGGCACTACAGGAAGAGGTGGAGGACAGGTGGAGGACAGGCGGAGGACAGGCGGAGGACAGGTGGAGGACAGGTGGAGGACAGGCGGAGGACAGGCGGAGGACAGGTGGAGGACAGGTGGAGGACAGGCGGAGGACAGGCGGAGGACAGGTGGAGGACAGGCGGAGGACAGGTGGAGGACAGGTGGAGGACAGGTGGAGGACAGGCGGAGAACAGGTGGAGGACAGGTGGAGGACAGGAACGCAGACCCCAAGCAGAGCAGAGCCATTCATTTTTGCTGAAAGGAAAATAAAGAGGACAAAGTTGATCATCAGTGAAGCCTTTGATGTGACCACTTTTCTACTGACGCCGCATAATGTCCAAACACAACAACACTCGGCAGACGCCAATCAAAGGCAGTAACACACATTGAGCGCGGAGCTCTTTGAAGACTCAGGTAGAGTTTGAAACAGAGGCTTTATCATCATGACGAGAGCGACAACATGGGGCTGTTTAAAAGAGTAAAAGAGCTGGCTAAAGGATGGAGACTCAGAACGACCTTTTCCTCAGGATTTTCCCGCAATACTGGAAAGAAGGAAGGGCTTTATGCGCCTTCTCCGCTGCTCCCTCTGCTCCCTCTTGCCCCCTGTTTTCTACCTGCTCTACTCTACTCTATTCTACCCTGCTCTACTCAGTCCTGTTTATCCGGTACCAGGCCCTTCTTAAGTACCCTCTTGGCGCTGGTTCTATTCAGACTGAGCTGAACTAAAGTGTTGTAACTGAGAATGACCAGAGTGCTGCTGGAAGCCATGATACGGTACCTGATTCTAAAACGTAAGGAAACACCACCAGAGTAGAGCTGAGTAGAGTCGGGCCAGGTAGGGCTTATGTTCACTGCAAATGTAGAAAATCACGTGTATTCAGCCAATGCTGAATGAATTGCTACAATTTCATCCACACTCATTCGCAGGCAGGCCCTGCCCGACCTGACAAGCATAATATGCTTCTGCTAAATACAGAAGTACATGGACTTGTTTATTTTGTAACATTGTTTTGGATCAATAGAGTAATTTCAAACTAAATACTGTATGTAATAATGAGGCATGTGTGTCAAAGATTCTCACTATAGAGCAGACTGTGGCTCAGACTGTGGCTCAGACTGTGGCTCAGACTGTGGCTCAGACTGTGGCTCAGACTGTGGCCTCGCACTAAACTACATCAACCAAGTCGGACTCTGAGGAGCACAGGGACTGGCCTCCTGCTGGGACTCTGAGGAGCACAGGGACTGGCCTCCTGCTCGTGCCCAGAGTCAGGACTAAACATGGGAAGGCAGTGTTCCAGATTAATGCAGCTCAAATCTGGTACAGTCTTCCTGAAAATGTCAGACAGGCTTCTACTTTGACAATGTACAAGTTAAAAAGAGTGAGCTGTGCATACAACTGAAGAATTTACTCTTCACTCTTTTCTAATAAACTGTGATCATTTATTATATATATATTAATGCTTTTGATACATATTAATGCTTTTCTTGTTTTGTGAAGCACTTTGAGTTCCCTTTCTGTATTAGCTGTACTTTAAATAAACTTGCCTTTCCTTGCCAGCCTGTGGCACAGTATATCTTCTTTAAAAGTCGCACCATTACAGGACACACATGAGAGTTTTTTTCCACTAGTTGACTGAAGGTAGAGGTGAGGATGTTTCCACGTCTTGGCAAAGCGCGAGTGAAGAGAGACACACAGAAGATTAATGATATAATAGGCGGAGCATGCGCCTTAGCTATGTCTAAAACTGGCAGCATCAGTTCAAATTGTTTCATGGCTTTCTGCAACGATACATTTAAGCAGCGTGTTCAGACAGGTTCAGAGTGTGAGAGCCAGAGCCAGAGAGACTGCATTGCAACTGCTTTCTGAAGTGAAAAATGTTTGGAAGCTATGACACAATCACTCAAGTACAGAAAGATTGTTTACTTCAAAGTCTCTGCTAATAAAAAAACAAAAAAAGCGATTTTGCTTTTGTTCATGCTTGCGTGCATTGGGTCATGCTTGCGTGGTTGGGTCACGGAGTGCAATAGAAGTTAAAATGAATGTGTTTTGAAAGTCTAATACCTTGATAAAATGTTGTTGAAGATTATTGTTGTTGTGGCTGATTGGGTAAAACCAGGGGTGTCTAAACTTTTTTGGAACAGGACCACTTTAGTTCATCTGACTTGTCCAGGAGCCGCAAACCGGTTTTTGACTAGATTCAGGTTGTCGTGGGGTATAATGTTATGTGCATATTGATTCCCTCCACAGTTATTTTAGCGCAATTTTCTTTTAAAACAAATGTCAGTATGTACAAATCAAGGTTCACAACAAGGTCAGGGCCTAATGGGTGAATATTCACATGTACGTATGTCTCGTTTTTGAGGCGCAGCAGAGACGGTGGGTACTGCAGCGAGACGCATGCTGCAAACTTATGTGCAACATATGTTGATCCACACAGCAACTTAGTGCGTAATGTTTTGAATCCAGCACAAGATCAGGCCATGTGCGGCCTTCAAAACCTTTGTTTAGCCCTTTCTCATATGTCTTTACTTGTACCAGAGACAGACCGGGTCAGTTAGTACCAGAGACAGACTGGGTCAGTTGGTACCAGAGACAGATTGAGTCAGTTGGAGGAGGCAGCAGAGGTTAGGTGATACTATCATGAGTGACTGTTTTCTGAACAATGTCTGGAAGCTATGACACCATCAGTCAAGACCATGGGGCTGTTTACCTGCAGAAGCCCCAGAGCTAATGTCTGCTCACTGAAAACACGTTCTTACCTTTAGTCAGTTCTTGTGTGCAGAGATAAGACATTCTTTCACTGAAGACTGGGCAGGAGTAATGAGTTTAACCTTTAATTTATTTTTGTATAAATCACAACAGCAGTTGTTTCAGAGAACTTCACAAAGTTGTCCATTCACCAACAACAGATCAAATAATCAAACAGAAATGCAAAGTAATAACATACACAATGGAGCCATTGGTCCCTATGGAGAAGGATGAGCCAAGTCCCTATAATGTCCCTATAATGTCCTGTATCATCACTGTCCTGAGACTCTCCTGCACTGGCAAGGAATTTGAAATAATAAAAATAAAATAAGGTTTAAATTGCAACAAATGTTGTGGCTTTTACATTTATAATAAGAATCCCCTGGTTGTAAGGTCCCATAGTGTATTGTTGCGGGCTTGCTTCTCCACAGATCTGACCTCTGAATTTGCCTCTTGGTGTCACATTCCTGTCTCCGTGGAAACAGCTGAAGGCCTACAGTGGAACATTCCAGGTGGAGTGATAGCATCAGTGAGTCTGTTATAATGAGCGCTTCTATGAGATGAAACTCATGAACGCTCAAGTACTTAAAGCTGCACTAACTGACTTTATTTTCGTATTCATCACTAAAATGCTATCCATGTCCATGTAGTGCATTGGGATATACGTCCTTTTGAAGAAAAAGTAGCGCAGATTTGTGCTGGCGTGACATTATATTTTGGATCGAGTTTTGATGAAACAAGGAAGAGATGTGTTTCGGGTCGCAGATTGTGACCAATCAGAGCGCACCACTGGCCCCCACTTTCGTGACAAATCTACAGGTCCCTGTTAGCATAGACAGCTGAGTTAGCACAACAAGCGGCGGAGCTAACCTGAAGCTTCCTTGTCTTCGTCACCGGTTACTGCTTACACAGCGCAACAGCCATCCAAAAGAAAGTCCCGTTCCTCCGCGCTTCCTGGTTCTATCGTTCTATGGTCACGCCATCCACGTGTAAATCCATATCCATGTATTATCCATATTGGGAGACGCTAGCTCCGTCAACAACAGTGGGTGTGTGTGGGGGGCGATAGCTTCGTGGGTGCAGGGAGGGGAGCAGAAAGAGCGAGGCCAGCGAGTCCGCGGCTTCAAAATCCCAAAGTCAGTTAGTGCAGCTTTAAGTAAAGTTACAGATACTTGGATACAAGCAGCTCTGGGAAACGTCATGTACTGCAGTCCTTCCGTTTAGAAGTACTCTATGTGTACTTTTTGTGTACATTTTGTGTACTTATGTATCAACAGGCATCACTCAATAACAAACAATACAAACAATAATGATGTCAATTAATTCTTTTCAGTTTTTTAAACACGCACAGAGTATGACCATATATAAATCCACTTTACTGCCCTTTATAAAGTCACCTTACTGCCCTTTATAAAGTCACTTTACTACCCTTTATAAAGTCACCTTACTGCCCTTTATAAAGTCACTTTACTGCCCTTTATAAAGTCACGTTACTGCCCTTTATAAATCCACTTTACTGCCCTTTATAAAGTCACTTTACTGCCCTTTATAAATCCACTTTACTGCCCTTTATAAAGTCACTTCACTGCCCTTTATAATGTCACTTTACTGCCCTTTATATGGTCACTTTACTGCCCTTTATAATGTCACTTTACTTCCCTTTATAAATTCACTTTACTGCCCTTTATAAAGTCACTTTACTGCCCTTTATAAATCCACTTTACTGCCCTTTATAAAGTCACTCTACTGCCCTTTATAGATCCACTTTACTGCCCTTTATAAAGTCACTTTACTGCCCTTTATAAATCCACTTTACTGCCCTTTATAAAGTCACTTTACTGCCCTTTACAGTGCCTTGCGAAAGTATTCGTTGAACTTTTCAACATTTTCCCACATTTCAGGCTTCAAACATAAAGATATAAAATTTTATTTTTTGTCATGAATCAACAACAAGTGGGACACAATCGTGAAGTGGAACGAAATTTATTGGATAATTTAAACTTTTTTAACAAATAAAAAACTGAAAAGTGGGGCGTGCAATATTATTTGGCCCCTTTACTTTCAGTGCAGCAAACTCACTCCAGAAGTTCAGTGAGGATCTTTGAATGATCCAATGTTGTCCTAAATGACTGATGATGATAAATAGATTGCACCTTTGTGTAATCAAGTCTCCGTATAAATGCACCTGCTCTTTGATAGTCTCAGGGTTCTGTTTAAAGCGCAGAGAGAACCATGAAGACAAAGGAACACACCAGGCAGGTCCGAGATACTGTTGTGGAGAAGTTTAAAGCCGGATTTGGATACAAAAAGATTTACCAAGCTTTAAACATCTCAAGGAGCACTGTGCAAGCAATTATATTGAAATGGAAGGAGTATCAGACCACTGCAAATCTACCAAGACCCGGCCGTCCCTCCAAACTTTCATCTCAAACAAGGAGAAGACTGATCAGAGATGCAGCCAAGAGGCCCATGATCACTCTGGATGAACTGCAGATAACTACAGCTGAGGTGGGAGAGTCTGTCCATAGGACAACAATCAGTCGTGCACTGCTCAAATCTGGCCTTTATGGAAGAGTGGCAAGAAGAAAGCCATTTCTCAAAGATATCCATAAAAAGTCTCGTTTAAAGTTTGCCACAAGCCACCTGGGAGACACACCAAACATGTGGAAGACGGTGCTCTGGTCAGATGAAACCAAAATCGAACTTTTTGGCCACAATGCAAAACGATATGTTTGGCGTAAAAGCAACACAGCTTATCACCCTGAACACACCATCCCCACTGTCAAACATGGTGGTGGCAGCATCATGCTTTGGGCCTGCTTTTCTTCAGCAGGGACAGGGAAGATGGCTAAAATTGATGGGAAGATGGATGGAGCCAAATACAGGACCATTCTGGAAGAAAACCTGTTGGAGTCTGCAAAAGACCTGAGACTGGGACGGAGGTTTATCTTCCAACAGGACAATGATCCAAAACTTAAAGCCAAATCTACAATGGAATGGTTCACAAATAGACGTATCCAGGTGTTAGAATGGCCAAGTCAAAGTCCAGACCTGAATCCAATCGAGAATCTGTGGAAAGAGCTGAAGACTGCTGTTCACAAACGCTCTCCATCCAACCTCACTGAGCTCGAGCTGTTTTGCAAGGAAGAATGTGCAAGAATTCCAGTCTCGATGTGCAAAACTGATAGAGACATACCCCAAGCGACTTGCAGCTGTAATTGCAGCAAAAGGTGGCGCTACAAAGTATTAGCGCAAGGGGGCCGAATAATATTGCACACCCCACTGTTCAGTTTTTTATTTGTTAAAAAAGTTTAAATTATCCAATAAATTTCGTTCCACTTCACGATTGTATCCCACTTGTTGATTCTTGACAAAAAATATAATTTTTATATCTTTATGTCTGAAGCCTGAAATGTGGTGAAATGTTGAAAGGTTCAAGGGGGCCAAATACCTTCGCAAGGCACTGTATATGGTCACTTTACTGCCCTTTATAATGTCACTTTACTGCACTGCTTTATGTATATGTTATATTGTGTGCACCGAGTAATTAATAATTGTAATAATTCAACTTTTTAATTTTTTTTATTTTGGGAAATTGTATACTTTAGAAATGTTTTATCATGTCTTATTCTTTCCCTATTGACATGTTTGCACCAAGAGCCAAAGCAATTTCCTAAGTCTGTATGAATTAACTTAGAAGCATGGCTAACCACTTCAAACCTGTATGAATAACATTAGATTCAGATTAAGAGATCATTTATTCATCCCACAGTTAAGGGTAATTTCAGTGTTGCATAAAAAATAACTATACGAAATAAAATATTATCCAGAAGCATCGATAATAATTTTGAGTCTGCACGGATAAACTTAGAAGCATGGCTAACCACTTCAAACCTCTATGAATAGAATTAAAAGCATGGATAATCATTTTAAGTGTGTATGAATGAACTCAGAGGAATGGCTAACCACATGAAAATGACACTACTGAACTCAGAAGCATGGCTGCTCCTGGTGATGGCCTTGGTCGTGATCCTCGTCCCTGGTGCGGGTCCTGTTCTTGTTGTCTGTACTGGTCCTGGTCCTGGAGGGTATCAAGGATTTTTCCACAGTCTTGCCGAGCTGCAGTGACCAGTTGTTTGGTCTGAAAACATCCGGTGGATCAGGATTACTGTAAGCTGGAGCTCAGGTGACGTCTGTGGCACCCACAGCACCAGCACCAGGTGACTGCAGCACATGTGGGACACTTATGGTGTTTTAGGAGACACCAAAGCAGATACTCTCCTCATCTGCTCTCATTCATCTCTCTCAACTCGACTTACACGAATACTTAGTAGTGGGGGAAAGTTGTGGGGTCAGAGAGTGTTTCTGTGTGTGTGTGTCTGTGTGTGTCTGTGTGTGTCTGTGTGTGTCTGTGTGTGTCTTGCTCTATGTTCTCTCATGCCATCAGTGGCTGTACAGTAGTATTGTGTGTATTACGTGTGTATTACAGGACTGCTGTCATTTGTCTGAGTTGTACTGGCGGCACGGTGGCTGAGTGGATAGCACTCTCGCCTCTCAGCAAGAAGGTCCTGGGTTCGAATCCCGGTCGGACCAGGGTCTTTCTGAGTGGAGTTTGCATGTTCTCCCCCTGTCTGCGTAGGTTTCCTCTGGGTACTTCGGTTTCCCCTACCACTAAAAATATGTACAATAGGTCTGGCATGCGCCTCCTGTACTGGCCCCGCTCCCATCTCTGTGTGGAGTGAGAGACAAATGCCCAAAAAATAACAATTGTAAACCGCTTTGAGACTCAGATCTGCAGTGAAAAGGCGGTATATAAATACTTACTTACTTACTGTATGCTATGGTTTTTGTGCTGAACAAAACAAAATCCAAAATCGCTTCATCCAATTCCTTTTCCACCCTTGCTTTTGTATTGTGTATCTGTGTCAGGAGAGTGCTAAAACAACAGACTGTTAGATATGTATATGGACTTTTTCAAATTAGATTAGATTATATTTGTTTTTTGTTTTTTTCAATGAAAACATTTGAATACATACATAAAATTTGAATTTCAATCAATGAATTATATATGCTTTTAGAAGTGTTGTATTTTTGTTAAAAGGGGCCAAGCATTAGATAAGGGACCATGAGCCTTTATGTTTAACTGAATTGTATTGTATTGTTTATTGTTTGGAAATATGCAGTATTCCAAGTCCCCTAGATACGTATTGTATTGTGTCCTGCTGCATATCGAGATGCACCTACAAGTCTCTTGAAGAAAAGTATGCGGGAAACCACCCAACCTGGCAACCCTGCTGCATATTGTTGTAAACAGGAACACCTAAACCACACTTTACACGAACATTTGACTCTTAAAACACACATTTAACGACATGGAACCATCAACATCTCGCTTCATATTGCATTAAAAGTGACATCTGTGTCTTAATTCGTTCGTTTTCAAACATAAAAAAAAAAAGATGTCCGCCATCTTGGATTGCTTTCGCCGGTGCATGAGACACGCTTGAGAAGGTCAATTATTTTCTGA